TGTGTGTTTCTGTCCGGAGGTTTCTCGGCCGTAAGGCCGAATTTCCGGCTGATTTTTGGCATGGAGGTGGAGAAATTACATTCGCCAAAAACGGTTTTTGCTGTTGAAATTCCTTAATTTAACGATTTTACAAAGCAAAAATGTAAAAATCCTAGCAAATTGGATTACTAACCAATATGTACAATAATACAACTCGAAGCCTGGTGGAATTTCGGTCTGTAATTTGTACCACTTTATGTATTCGGTAGTGGGGATCACGCGCATCTGATTATCTTTACAAATTTTCAGCAGATTGAGACTCAAAAATGTAATTTTGTAAAGTGGCCAGAAGGGTCCGCCCGCCCGGGGATTGCCGGGTCGGCCCTTTGCCTCTCCTCGCCCCCTCCCCCAGGATCGAAGAAGAGTGCCTTCCAAGGCCGCCTGCGCACCCGCGCCTCGTGGTGTAGTGGGTTAGCTCCCGGTCTGGGCCACGCTTGCTGAGGACGCGGGTTCGATCATGGGCGGCTTTGGCAAATTTTGTTTTTGGTGAAGCCAGGCTAACAAAAATATCTTTCTCTAGGCTCGGGGTGTGCGAGGTTTGGGCCTGGCCCTCGCTCTAGCGCCGCAGGCCGAAGAAAAGGTATTTGGTCCAGGCTGGGCGCCGCAGGCCCAAGATGGCCCTTGAGCTAGGCTCCGCGCCGCAGGTACAAAATCCGGGAGAACAACCAGTAACCAGCGCCGCAGGCAAAAAGATTCTAGCGCGAGGTTTAGCCTGACCATCGCTCTATATGCCGCAGGCCAAAGAATGGCTTCTTGATCCATGCAATACGCGCCGTAGCGCCAAAGAATGGCTCTTTGACCAAGGTACATGCGCTGGAGGGCTAAAAGAAAAGAAGGTGTTTCAGATTCATGGTTCAATGGTGCGGCGCTGAAGCGGTCTTTTTCCACCGGTAAATTTGATAGTCGAATTCTTATTATTATACTTCTAATACTTGTGGTTATTATTATTCCTTATTACTATTTACTATTATTCTATTCTCAAAAAAATGAAAACCCACTTTGCTCCCGCACCATCGCATGCACACATTTTCAAACTCGCTTTTCATCTAGAAATCGCGGGTAGAGTGCAGTTTACCCTTTCTTTCTCAGTCGCACTCATCTTTATTTTGAGCCTTTATCACCTACGTGTGTAAAGTATAACAAAATGTATCTTTGCTCTTATGGGTTTTTTAGGTGTGTACTTTACACACCTAAGATGAACAGGAGCCGAATACGGTAGGTGGGTGCCGAAGCTTCTGGGGGTAAACTGTATTTAGCCAAAATCGATTCCATCGATTTAACCGCTGCGGAAAAGCTCTTATTCCTCAAAACATTTCTTGAAATTTCGTCCAACCGTCGTCCAATAAGTCATAGTAGGTTTGGTATTTTGGAACTCCTTAAAATTCATCGCCTCGTGATGCCGTTCTGAAAAAGTACTGTTGTTTGATTCCAAGTCTCGAAGAACAGTACGCTGGATTGAAAAACTGACAAAAGCCCCTCCAGCTGCCTATTGAATGGCTCTTCTGACCCGGGACTCCTAAGTACAAATTATGCATCCAATAATGCGAGGCTAAACTTAGCGTCAAAAGACTCACTGTTGTCCCGCAATTAAATGGAATTTGTTGGGTAGGTGTTAGGCATAAGAAGGGAAAATCAAAAGATGTTTAAGAGAAAATTAGAGGCAAAATACAGAAAACTTCGCGAAAAAGGCAACGGAACCCACGATCGTGCGCTGCTTCTGCTGGACCTAAAATTACCCTAGAGCCTTCGGTTCTTTTGCGTCTCGGGGGGGAGGGCGTAAACGAACATAAAATATGGATTGTTTGACGACCGATTTTTTACTAAAATCTCTAATTCTGAAAATATTTAATCATTGTTCTGGAGTTTTCTACTAAAATATGGTTGCATTTACCAAAAAAAAACAACTATTAAAATACTTGCTTTTATGGTGCTAGGCATTTCTGGACACTCCCCCCACCCCCGATAATGCAAAAAAATACCGGACTTTCTAGACTCTCCCATGTTTCTTCAAAAAAGTTATGGGTAAAACCTGACCTGGAAGTCGCGATGTTTTAGGGCGGGTGTTTCTGTAATTATTGTCACGTGAAGTTTAAGCGAATACATCTGGTTCCTCCAAAACTTACTTCCGGTCGCGTTCATGCTGTATCCTCGCCATGCTGTCCACCGGAAAAGCATTCTACTGAGGACCTTGGGACAACGAACCCACCTCCACGGCACTTAACCCCAACCGCTGGGCAGCGTCATCCAGATCCACCTCGTTTCCCGCCTGTTTTTGCGCCCACCATTCCGTCAGAAATGCTGCCGTCTTGTCGAGCGGCACTTTTTGGGCAATTTCTGGAAGAGGCAGGGTTGTAGCTTACAGTTAGAGATCTTAGAGGGGCCGGATTTTGGGGGTTTATTCGAGTGCTCGATTCGTTAGGTTTGCTAATTGTACGTTACCATACCCAATTCAGGAGCCAGATCCCGCTTGATGCCACCGCGGCTTTTGATGTTGTTGAAGGTGAGCGCAATGTTTTGTGGTACGATGGGAAAGCCCACTAAAAAAGCTGTAGCCGTCTCTTAGTGCCACCTACACTCCGCCAGGTTCTTCTGCAAGATTGCCTTGTTCTTATGGCGGCTGAGGTGATCGTCGCCGTTAAAGTCTGCAACGGTATTAGGGTGTGCAGTAATGCAGTATCAGCCTAAGCCTAAGCCTAAGCTTGAGCCTAAGCCCAAACAAGCCTCAGCCTAAGCCTAAGTCTGAGGATAAGCCCAAGTTTATTTTTATGCCTAGGCCTAAGTCTAAGCCTAAGCCTAAGCTAAAGACTTACATAGATGTTGGCCCGGCTCCAGTCTATCTGGTGACGGTTCTCGTGGTGGGGATCTCAGCGCCGGAACCATTGGTAGAATTCTGAACATTTTCTAGATGAGATACGCTCCTGCTGTTTCGTTAACGGGGGAGTGGTTTAGCAGTCAGAAAGTAAGATAACAGCTAAAAGCTTATAAACCACCATCATCATCATGTTGTTGTTGCTGTACGACGCGCTGTTGTGGTGATACGGGGCGATGAACATCAGCAACTGTCGGGACAATTTAATTTTCAGTAATACGATAATTGTGATAAGATTAGTGTTTGGCAATTTACCTGGTGAGCGTCTTGGTGAGTGTGGAGGCGAATGAATGGGCTAAACTCTAGTTTGCCCCTCACAGTCAAGATTTCGGCAGGGATGAATTCGAATCTTACCGAGTGAAAATCCTCAAACCAAGGCGACCTGGGGCGGTGCTCGTCTGGTGAATTGTGTCGACCTAGGGAATTTCATCGGGTGTTTTTGCAAAAGGATCACCTCCAATCGATGGTGATCTATCGCCACGTTCGTTGGGAAGCAGATACGGATCGTCGATTGGTTCTGGAAATCGGATTTTGCATAATCCGATGTCAACACGAAAATGAAATCGCGAATCGCGAAAAAATGAACTCGATGCCGTTTTTTAAAGGGTAAATGTGCAAAGCATAAAAAGCGGAGAAAATATCTTGGCCCTTTTCCTTTTTTGTCGCCATAAAATAAATAGAGGCATCCTTGAAACTTAAAATTTGGCGGATTTGTGGTGCATTAGACTCCTTCCTATCTTCTAAACTTACGCCCTAGTATCGTATACCCGGGCCGGAATGGATTTTCAATTTCTTTTTCTGCCCGGCGCATCTCCTCGACGAGCCGATCAATGTCTGTCAAATTTTCAGGTCGTAAAAACCCATTTTCCAAACCCGCATTTTGAGGGCTTCTGTCTCGTTCCGGCGGTGTACGTAGCAATCCGGCTGTTAACCAAATCAGGTTTAAAATCGAGAGAAGAATCCATAATTCATCTTTCGCAGCCCGGGCCACTTTGGGAGATGTGTAATAAAGAGAGCGGAATCGAAAGCCAACATTCCTCGGCCTGTAATTCATTCTGAAGCCCCGGAATTTATCAAGTTGGTGAATTTAGAACTGCCCTTGTGGATAGGAGCCACAATTTTCCGGCGGTTATCATCTATAAAAAATACAACGTTTGTTCAAGCATTTTCAAGTGTTTTTAGATATAAAATAACAAAATTTTAAAACTTAACAAAATTGTTAGAGTTTATGACAAAACTGTATGAAAATCGGTAAAGTTCGGCGGAAAATTAAAGAGTGGTTTGGCCCCTGATCGCTACCCCCCGCTAATAGGCCAATCCCGAAAAATCGCAAAATCTGTGTAGAGGTGCGTTTGCATACGCTTAAATATGCGTCATTTGCATATTTCTCGCCGCATCTTCTCTTTTATCCCAAAAGGAGAATCTTCATTTTCCTCCCACTCGAAGATGGCGAACGGGGGGTTTGGGAAAACAATTTATGCAAATTTCAAATTTTCATTTAGAGCTTGCGATCGTCGTTCGGCAATCATCACCTTTCTCGGGCTCCTCTTCCTTGTCATCATCGTCACGTGGACGCTATGGAATGCGCAGCGTCAGTTTTCTTAGAACTTAAAATCCTACAAGCCATCCGATACGAATATGAATTTTTTTAGATTCACCTCTCGTCAAATCCACCGACCCGATCATCGTAGATCCGCCCATTGTCAGGAAGACGACGCCACATCCCCGCCGCCCCAAGCCTCCAAACGTTGGCCCCGATGGCTACTGTAGGACGACGGGATGCAAGAAAACGGCTGAATTTTTTGTGGGTTTCTCCTTCCCTCTCGCCCTCTCACTTACTCTCTTTCTCTCTCTCTCTCTCTCTCTCTCTCTTTCTCTCTCTCTCACTCTCTCTACAACGCTCCCTTGTTCCGGCTACACGTTTAATTCCAAGCCCTCCCCCTTGCAGCTGAAAATGGTCGCCCCGGACGTCGACCCGTGCCAGGATTTCTTCAAGTTCGCTTGCGGAAAGTACCTGAAGGTACCCTAAGCATCTGTAGATGATACCTAGCTCGTTTTAGAACAACCCACTCAAGCGGTTCGATTTTGCGGTCGGCGTCACCAATGATCTAAATGACCGTGTGACGAATGCGATCATCGGTGGGTCGACCTGAAGTTCTCACCATGGCCTCATCAATTGTGCAGACTTCCTGGATCGAGTCCCTCGAACAAAACGGCTACTGGCGCTGATCGAAAGGTGTACAAGACCTACAAACTGTGCCTGGATACCAAAACAACTGGATTTGGGTACGACACTATCCGATTCGAGTGATAAGGTTACCAGTGGAAGCCCTGCTTCGTGGCCTTTTCCACTGGACCTCGTTCAGAACCGATGAATTCGAATACCTTCTTTTTTTAGCCTGCGGCGCAAGAACCTGAGTCAAAGAGCCATTCTTTGGCCTGCGGCGCTAGAGCGAGGTCAGGCCTAAACCTCGCACACCGAGAGCCTAGAAATATGTTTTGTTGCTGCACTACCAAAAGCAAAAATTAAATTCTCCCACGATCCGAACTCACGACCATGCGCATGGTAGACCGAACGCAAATCCACTACACCATAGGCCAGATGGGAATAGGCGGCGGGAAAGCCCTCTCATGTTCTGGGGACAGGGGGGAAGGCAAAGAAAAGGAACCCAATGATCCCGGACACTTTAAAAATTGGGTTTTCTAGTCTGGAATCAGCTGTAATTTTGCAAAGATAATAAGATGCGCGTGATCCCCACCATCGAATACATAAGTGGTCCAATTCCAGCCCGAAATTTCATCGGAGCCTCGAGTTATGGCCCGGACACCACGGCTCTTGGCCCATTTTATTAAGGACTTTTTAGAAAAATGTTCATAAAAACTTTATTTTACAAAATCTGACAAAACGCAAAATTATATATCGGGAGAATTCGATTTTCAATCTACCCTCTAAAAATTAGTGCCCAATTCCATTTCGATCACGAGATATCCTCTGTACAAACCTTTTTTTTGGCCACAATGTTAAGGGTTTTACACTATTTTTCTTGTAAAATCGTTAAATGAAGGAATTTCCCAAAAACAAAAAAATGCCTATAAAGAGGATGTGTTTCTCCGCTTTCATGCCAAAATCAGCGCGAAATTCCGCCTGACGGCCGAGAAATCGGCTGCACAGAAAACAAACATACTTTTCTCGCTTTTAGGATAGGATTTTCCAGCCCGCTTCGCGACATCTTGAAGGCTGTGGGTGGTCCCCCATTTTCCGGGAAACCTCGTCCGAGCCTGAACGACACGATCCGCTTGACGGGCGGCGATGGGATACCCTTCTTCGCCATCGGCGAGTATAGCGCGCCGGAGGGGTGGGGCGCTAAGCCTCACCTTCACTCGAATCGCTTGGAAGTTGCCGGTCCAGCTCGTCACCAAGAAGTTGATGGTCGAGGAGGTGAGTGTCTCTCTCTGTATATCTCTTTCTCTCTCCTCTCTCTTTCTCTCCTCTCTCTCTCTTTCTCTCGCTCTCTCTCTCTCTTTCTCTCGCTCTCTCTCCCTCGCTCCCTTTATCTAACCACCGGTTTCAGCTCCCATAAAGTATTGGCTGACTGATTTGGGCGGAGTCCGATACTCCTGCAAAGGCAGCTGCCCGCCAAGCTAGCGCCGATCGCTACGGGACTTTCTGGAAAACTCGAAGAGTGTATACATCTAGCCTATCCAGGCTATTCAATCCAGATCCGCAATGATCGGCCCATCCCCTCCAAAGCGCATAACTCATGACGAGGCGGCAGAGTTGTATCCGAATGTGGGGCATCAGGCAAATAAAAAAGGTTCCTTGCAGCTACACATGAAGACGCTGATCAAGAACCGCTACGCCAGGGTCGTAATACCCCCGGGGCCTTTACACGAGTATCTGAGGTTTTTGAAGAGGTACGCTGTTGTTCTGTTGTTTCGGGACTCGTTTGATGTTTATCTAGCTAAACTCGACTGGATTGGCGAGTACTCGGAAGTGGCTGCTGAGCCGTGATCGCCGAGCTGGTGTTGGACCGAATCCACGAGATTGGCGAGAAATACGAGGAGATCAACAAGGTGAGCAGCTCCGCATGGTTCTTGGGGAACACACTGGCTAGGTAAACTGAAATCGGTTCTACAGTTAGCGGCGGAACCGGACTCTTGGTAGAAGTCAAGAAATCCCTAGTAAGTTAAGAGAAAGCGTTCCAATAGGGTTTCTACCAATATTGAGCCATGTTTATGCACCCCCAGCCGGAAGTTTTTGGCTATAACTTTTATTTCACGTTGTTGTAGGCTCAAATTAAAACTCTTAGTATATTTTCGACGCTTCATCGAATGGCGTTGCAAAAATCCCGACAAAATAAGCGAAAATACTGACAATTTTGAGACCCTTCGGCTCAGGGTGTAAAGTAAACTCTTACCGAACCAAACTGAAATTTTCAGAAGTGGCTGTCGCTAAAAAACCGAGATCAAGACCTACTGCGGCGGCAAGCAAAAGCGGAATCTTTGGCTTCTCATTGCATTTTTTGCCGCTCAGATGCTTGAGTACCACCCGCGCTGGACGGATGCGGTGGCCATGGAGCGCGTCTAGGGCAAGCAGCGCGACTTGGGCAGGCGTCCCCGGTTAGCTTCCCCAGCCCAATTTTACTTTTTTTTTGGAAATTGATGCACAAGGTCCGCGAAGGTCCACGAAATCATCCGCGAAAGCCCATAACGATCCGCCCACCCAGGACGTTGCTGTGGGCAAGGTAGGCAAGTCGGAACTAGTCTGTTAGCGGGGGACGTGAGCAGGCCAGTCCCGAAAAGAAATTGGCCGTCTCAAAAATTCCCTTCCAGATCAAAAACGTCACAATGCACATCGGGCAAGATGTCGGGACATGGCCGAGGCGCCAGGTCGAGGCGTACTGGCCAAGAATTACACCCCGGCTGAAGCGCCCACTCCGGGCGGCGTTCCGCGAAAAGCGCAAGCGGTGGACCGGCTTCAAAATTTTTAGCGTAGTTTCGGGCCGTGCTATTGAAACCTCGTTCAGAAGCGGTTAGTCAAGACGCTACGTCGTTGTCCAACGCCTACAACGCCACCACACGATCCGTGGGTTTTTAGCGGGAAATTCGAATTTTGGTCGGAAATCTATGAAAAATGACTAAAGTGTTATCAGGATTGTTGAACTTTAAGATGTTTTTAAGATTGCTAGTGAAGCAATAACTACTAAATACCATATAGAACTACAGGATTTATTATTAATAAGTAGATATAGGGCTTAAAAAACGAAAAAATGTTCTTAATTAATAGCCAAGTACCGGTTTCCTTCTCCAGGTATCTCTTGGGGTGGGTCATAATAAGTGTTGTTCTATTATTCGTTGATCCCCGGTGGTTTTGTTACGGTGGCGTCGGCCTACTCATCGGCCACGAGCCTGGGCACACCATCGGATCCGAACAGTAGGGAACCCATCAATTATCACTGCGTGAATCCTTCCGCCCTAGACATCAGACGATGCCGAGGCTGGTGCTGATCGGGGAGGGGGATCGATAAGCACTGGGGGAACAAGTCGACGGCATCCAACACCATACGGTAGCCGAGACCGTCCCGTGAACAGCATGAACTATACCTTCAACGTTGGGATTCTGTGAACGGAAAACACCAGTTTTGAATTTTAGCACCAGGCGACCTGACCCATGGCGAGACGGGGGCTGACAATGTCGGGCTGAGGTCGAGCTTTTGTGGGTAGGTCAGGAGAGAGAGATGAGCGAGAGGGCAGAGAGAGAGAGGGAGGGAGGGAGAGAGAGGTGGAGAGCGAGATAGAGAGAGGATGTGAGAACAATGACGTATTGAGGTTTCTAGGCATTTTTTCTAGGCCTACCGTAAGGAGAGGGAAACGCTCTACGGAAAACTGGAGCCAAAACTCCCGGACTCGACTGCCATACCCTTGATCAAGTCTACTTTATCGCTGCTGCTATGGTAATAGTTTGCAAATTTTTTCCTTCCCCCGCTTCGTTCCTAACCATTCAAAAACCATTTTTTCAGTTCTGGTGTGGCGAAATGAGCGACCAGCGCCTCACGCAAATTCGAAAATGCGCACCTGCCCGGCGTTTTCGCGTCAATGAGGTGAAAACAATTTTTCGGGTATCGGGTACCCTCCTTCTTTTAGATGATGAAAACTCGATGGAGTTTGCTCAAGCGACAAGTGCCCGGTAACTTGAGAAACAGTTTTGTCTTGAACTCGCTGAGTGTTGTAGCCTGAACTCGCTGATGAACCCGGCGAAGAAGTGCTGCGTATGGCGTCGCAAGAAGAGACACCAGCAACCGAATCCCACTCGACGACTACTCGGCCCTAAATGACGACTGCTCTCTCTCGATCCGGGAATTCGGCCATCCAGTGGCTGTATCTCCGGCGTGTCGCTCTGGAAAATAATAAAGCCTTTTCCGAGCCTTCCTTGTTGCATCTTATCCGCAAGCAAAATGAGAGTACAGAGAATCAACTATAATAATTTTGCTGTGGTGTCTGTCCGTCCGTCATGTCCCGAATTCAACCTCGAAGGGGAAGGAGCTAGAGCTTAGGTCTCTTCGGATTCGGATAGAGCGTGGTCAGAAACCCCCAAACCCGGAAAAAAGTACGAAAAAGTTTTAGTTTAGATTATTAAAATTAACTTTGAAAGTTTTTTCCTTAGTAAAAGGTGGGGACGGAGGTCAAAGGATTAAGGACATAGTGAGCCAGGTGGCGCGCGTTTCGTGGATGAAAATTTTCACGGGGGATTTCATTTCTTTTTTCTCTCATTCCATTCGGTCGGTCGTTATTTTCGTTTTTTAAAAGGATTTCGGCTAGGGGAGGTATCTTAAGCCATCGGGAAGGTATTTGGGTAGTTTTTGAAGGGGATTTCGGCTAGGGGAGGTATCTTAAGCCATCGGGAAGGTATTTGGGTAGTTTTTGAAGGGATTTCGGCTAGGGAGGTATCTTAAGCCATCGGGAAGGTATTTGGGTAGTTTTTGAAGGGGATTTCGGCTATCGGGGGTATTGATGGAGGTGGTAAAGGATGTAGTGGAGTTGGACATGCAGGGTAGCCCGAAGGCCAGATGGTTGCAGTCGCGAAGCGACTGTAACCATCTGGTACAAATACAATGAGACCAGGAAAACATTTTCAAAGGATCCGTGGGCGGCATACTGTTGATTTTTGGGCATCCATTAATGTTGCAAAAGTCGGAATCGGATAGCCCGATTTGAGCTAATTTTTCAAATTTGCATGCAAGAG